AGGGAGAGCAGGCAGCGTGCGGCAGGCGTGGAGGGGCCTTCGGCCTCACCTCTGTGCTCCTTCCCTTGGGCAGCGTGAGCACACAGCGTGAGCAGTGTGTCCTCCCTCAGGGCTGCCTCAAAAAAACCAAAAATCCTCTCACCATTAAAAGGATCCTGTCCCTGAGTGTAACAAAACCCAGCCGTATCTTTGCTGGAAGTAACAAAGCGTAATTTCCTATCGACTTACAGGCTGTGTTTTGACATAGCTGATAGCAGACCTGTGTGTTCTCCCGCAGTTCCCACCAGCGCAGCCGGACCGTGGAGCCGAACGCTGTAGCTGGTGCTTAGCTCTGTGCGAGCTCCTCGGCCTGCCGTCGGCTCAGAGCTTGGGAAAGCTTCCCGGCAGCCTTCCCTTCAGTCCCTGTACTCTTTGGTCAGCGAGGATTCTCAAAAAATTTGCACGTGTGTTGAGCGTTGGGTCTTTTAAAGTCCCACTTGAAACGAGCTGCCGGATTGACAGGTTATTGGGGTGGGGAAGCGGAATGTGAATAGACAGCACAGGGTCAGGTGTCTGCCATCCCGGGAAGGGGACCGACTGACACTGCAATTTACTGGTCAGCTTGGTCCTGAAGCATGTTACGCTTCACAGTGTTTATATATTCTAATATACACACAGTATATTCTAATTCTACTTATGAATAGGCTCCCCAACACATTTCTCAAGAAGAGTGGGCATTGTTTATTTTTAACAAGAAACTTGCTAAGAAAGAGAGGGAGAACTGGGATAAAACTCTTCTAAATGAATTGTGAAAACAGGCGGAAAACGGACTTGAGTGCATCAAACCTGGCGGGGAACTGTTTGGAAAGCTGTCTTAAAAGTCTTTCTACAGCTTATGATATGTTGTAGTATAGTTTTATTTTAAACAGGTACTAAAACAAATAGCTGTCTTGGTGAGGCAATTGCGTTGTATTGGGTATTGGTGTTTTGGTTTTTTTTCTTTTTTTCCAGGTCCCTCATATCCCTTTAAAAAGACCAGAAGCATAAAATGACCTTGCTTCTCATGAGACAACACCTCAGCTCTGTTTGCCTGTTACTGTCTCTAAGCAATTAATAAATAGAGAAGGAAATTTTTAATTTGGTACATGTGCTAGAGTGAGGACTAGTCTCTTAAGTATTCTTGATAATATGGAAGTTTGAAGGTTAAATGTACTAGGAAAATATTTAATGTAAAGAATTCCAAAGCAATCTTCTAATAGCTCTAGGCATCCGGCCCTCAGGGAGTTGAGGTTCTGCTGATATATATTTGCGATATGAAGACAAAACTTGCTCATTGAAGGAGATGAGCTATATAAAATATCTGACACAATGCCTCTTTCAGGAGGTAATTTGGTTATGAAAGGCTGAAGTGAAACTGGAAAAAACTAGCATAATGAAAACGATAGTTTTTAACAGGACTTAATCTCCAAGTACTGTTCTGAGGGAATGCAGAAAACCATTCTGTAAGCAAACAGATCTATTAAAAGAAATTCTTTGTGACTTCTAAGTGTCTGTCTTGGAAACAAAGCCTGATTCAGAAAGTCAATGCTTAGCACTTCTTTACAGTGAGCTCTGGCAGAGGTCATGCAAGGTGTTGAGACCAGTTTCCTCAGGAATCAGCTCATGGTCAGGGTTAAACAGTATTTTATCTTCTATGATGACTTCCAAGTTTTGGGAAGGATTGGCAGATACATGTCACTAATTGTTTGTATTGAAGTAAACCCTACCGAATGCCTTGTACTTAGTTCAGTGGCACAGGTGACAGTCTCACTGAATCTGCCTTCAGCTCTGTACTTGGATTCCTCCAGAATCCTGGGAAATTTGAACTTGTATATCCAAAAGCAGTGCAAAACATGTTTGTCTTTGGACATGGTATTCCTAAAATGGAAAAGTGGTAGAGAAAGCTAGTAAAAAATGAGAGGAAAAAAGTTGAAGGTAGTTTAATGATCTCCATAAGGATGAAGGGACTTGGATTAAGTGGGATAGTTGTAACTGATCTTACGAAGCTAGTGCTGGTTTTCAGTGTCAAGGAAATGTGCTGACAGGGGTTGTCTTCCAAGGAAGTGAAAGCGGGTGGGAGGGTAAGGGTGAAGTAGTGCCTGCAGGTGTGTGCAGGAAAGCTCTGCTTAATTTGCTTCATTAGACCTCTGATGACCTTCACTGTGACTGTATGTTTCTGCTTAAAATGCTATGGTTAGTTATTCAACTTCCAGTGCATTGTGTAATAGTATAATTTGTATTTAATGAGTTAACCCTGGTTCCTGTGGTGAACCAATCTGGGGAATGAGATTGGCTGGAGATTCTTCCCTGCCTCTTTGCAGTTGAACTTAGCTCTGTGCTGGGTGCCTGGATGGCTCCCCAAGGCTCAGCTGGGAGCTGGGGTTAACTTGGGAGAAGGGTTGGGATGGGCAGGAAGGACAGGAGTGGAGCTGAGTAGAACCAGCCCGTCAGTCCAGCTGCAGCTCCTTGGAGAAGCTTGCCTGTTTATAAAGCCAAGCAGGAGGCAAGCATGTTTAAGAAGAATGTGTGCACTTAAGGGTTTTATTCCCAGTGTATGATAGAAGCCTGTATTTTTGATTACTGTGCTGCATCCTTCTGTTGAGACAGACTTTTACCTTGAGGTTTTAGTCTGGCAGGTTTAAAGGGTTCTGTAATCTGAATTAGTGGATTTATAGTGATTGGGGACTGATGGCTTGTGAATTTAGCAGTAAAGTGGCTGGATTTTTTTCTTTGTCCAGGGGAAAAGCAACAAGTTGTGTTCATGTCTTAATTCCTTTCTGGAGATCAGGGTAAATCAATAACTACCTTCCTGCCTGGGGCTTGTTAATTTTTTTGTTTTTTTAGCTGTGTTCTCTGCAGCTCATTTTCCCTTACTATGGGCCTTGGGGTCTGCATAGCACAGAACTGCCTTGCTTTTTGTTAACTAACCCCTTGAATAGTTTAGTTTTGGGTTTTTTTTTTCCAAATAATAACAGATTCATTCAGAAATTCTGTTGTAACACATGCTTTAGGGTGGGCCTTGTCTCATTTGTTACTTAATAAATTGGAGGAAGATGTAAACCCAATGCAATTATATCACTCTAGTCTTCAGTTCTGTGTTTGGCAAGTTCTGTGTAGAAGACCAGTTCTAAACCTCAGGCTGAGCTGGGATTTGTTTCTTGTGGCAGCCCTGTGTTACAGCCCTACTGTAAAGCAGTTGCTTCACCTGCTGCATAGAGAGCAGCTTAATTATGCTGTTAGTATGTTGTGTGAATAGTAAAGATCTGCTTGACTAGTAGCATATTCCTCCTCTCCCCCCAGTAAGTTTGCCTCAATGGTATGAGAATACTGGATTAGAAGGCTGGATTTAATTTTGTTAGGGCTTCTACAGTTTGTTAAATATGTAAATCAAGAGGCTTTACAGGTCTAGGAATTTCTCCAAAAAGGAGTGGGGTTTTTTATTCTTTTTCAGAACTGCCAGCTCTCACAAAGTAGTTTGGAGTAAAGTACAATTTTTCTTTCTGTAATCTACATTATTTCAGTGAGTACAGATGAAACTCGTAAACACCAGTCTCTCTCTGCAGGTTTTTTCTTCCTGCTCTTGAAGGATTTGCTTTAAAATTGCAAAGCTTAGTTAGCATTTGGTACAGACATGTAGGAATGATTTTCTTAATATCTGATTTACCTCGTGTAGTTCTTCTGAACAGTTGACTGTTTCCTGCATTATTAGCAAACAGCTTACCTTTGAGTGGCTGAGATATAAGGGTAATTACTGAGATAAAGGGTGTCTACCCAATTATTATTTAGATGTAAAACTTGAAGTAGCATGAATAAGTTTGGGTTTAGTGCTGTTCCACAGTGAGGAGCGTTACTGTTTTAACTTAACTTAGAGTGCCTGTTTATTTCCAGAATTCACAGAACATTCCATGCCTATATTGCAGTGAGTGACCAACTTCCTTAGCAGACCAAATACCGTTTAAAATATCTCTAGTCTAATTAATATTATCAATGCTTTTTAACAAAAAAGGTATGCAATGCAGTTCTACCAATCAGTTACTAACTGGAAACGTTTCTTCTCATTATAGATCATGTATAGCCTTTGGACCCAAGAATCGCTCAATTGGTGCTGCAGCTAAAAGCCAGGTGAGCATATAGTTTGGGTAAAAGCAACTTTAGTAGTCAAAAATCAGATTAGCGGAATGTATTTTTTTATCATTGAAGATTACAAATGTCTCTGAGCTGGTGTCCTAGTGTCTCCATAACTGTAATGAACAGCTGAGCTTAATTCAGCTGTTCAGTATGTAATGCTGCTTTGTCATCTTGGATAGAAATCAAAGGGTTGATAGTGGCACATGATGAACTGTAAAAAAAAAAAGTCTTTGCCTCTTAAGAAATTCTGATAAATACTGGGGTTTTTTTAGGTTGCAAATGTAAATTCTAAAGCTAAAGCAATAGCCTTTCATCCTGCCTTAGCTTGTTCCAATTTGTGTGCATTATGATAGCTTTTGGTTATGTGGCTACATGCTATAGAATTCCATTAAGTCCATAATTTTGGCAGAAAGGGGACATACTTGGGTGTGAATATATATTGCTTTCCTGACTCTTTGTGGTTGAACTACAATCTAAATATTTATCTTAGGTGTTCTTGCTCATACTTTGAGTTTCTGTTGGTGTAGGTAGGTAAATATGATTTAAGGACTGAGAAGGAGTTAAGCTGATTTGTCCTGCTGGTGACATTTGGGTCCTGCTGTATCATATCTTGTGTTGCTGTGAAACCCCTATAAAACATGATTTTCTTTTGAAGTCCTCTACAGGAAGTGACTATTCAAACACTTGGTTTTTCTTAGCCTAAAATACCTAGAGATGTGTGAAGATTCATTATCTAGAATACAAAAATGACTGGACACAACCATATTATTCAAGAACAGAAGAACTGTACTAGAACTAAATACAGATGTTTTTTCTGGAATTGAGTGTCTGCTTAGCTTAAAGAAATTCATTGATACAGAGATCCAGTAGAGATGAGGTATGTCCTGCAGAAACTAAACTTACAGAAAATCAAACCCAGGTTACTTAGGAAATAGACACTTGACTGAAACTGAATCACAGGTAAATGTTGTATGGTACAGTGCTTGTCTGCTTTGTCAATTACTGTGCTTTTTTCAGTATGTGTCTTGCTCTAATAGCAATGGAAGAATTAAACAAGTTTCTTTGCACTACACGAAAACAAGCTATAATGATTTTTCACTTCTCCATTTGCGCTGATCTCTGCTATTAATAAAAGACAGTCTACCCTATGTCAGGCAAATCGAGTTGACAGTATCATCTTGGGGCCCTCCTGACTTTTTTTAAAGCTTCACGACAAGGTCCTTGAGCTGTTTTGTGAGAATATCTGTGTATTGACTGTCAGTGCATGTGATGAACTTGAACTGGAGTTCACATCAATATGCTTGTTATGTTTGCTAAATTACTGGCTGCAGCGCAGTAGAAGGTAGGGTGGTAGGAAACAGGTAAATGGGAAGGATGCTTTGCTGGCATTTTTAAATTGTCCTACACATACACTATGAAAATTGAGTGCTATTTTAAGCCATTTTTGATAGAATCTTGGCTCAGTTTTCTAGCATACATTTTATTTTAAATCTCAAATTCCTGTAGGTTACCTGAGCAGTCAGAGGGAAGTTGCCTTCTAGCAACTGCCCTGATACTATTAAGATACAAATGACAACAATATTCTGGCGAGGGAAGCATGAGAACAAAACTGTCTTCTGTTTGAAATTCAGATGTTCCCCTGACATGTTGTATTAAAGATTTCTTTTCCTCTAGGTTATTTCAAATGCAAAGAATACAGTACAAAGTTTTAAAAGATTTCATGGTCGTGCATTCTCAGATCCCTTTGTTCAAGCTGAAAAAGCAAGCCTTGCCTATGAACTTGTCCAGCTGCCAACAGGCTCAACTGGTATCAAGGTAAGTCTGGCATATTTGAAAAAGAGCCAGAGGAGGAAACTGATAAAGTTTCCTTTTATCTCTCTATTTTGAATCTGCTTGCTGTAGCTTCTGTTCTCTGGTGAATGGGAAGTCTTAAATAGGGAATAAAAGACTAATAATGCCGATGGTCTCTCCAGGTGTGTTAGGTGAGACCAATTTTACAGTTACACAGTTCCTCTGCCTTGCAAAGCCAGTCCCACACAAACTGTTTTAGCAGTGCTTTTTTTCCTTCACTCCATGGTGAATTTGGAAGACAAGCTACTAGACCAGTGTACTTATTTAGCTGCTGCCCAGATACTGCAAGGGTGTAAGATGTCAGCTTAGTACTTCAGGTGAAAAGGTAAAAAATTGTCTTTTTCAACAATGGCTGAACCTCTGGTTTGGATTTTAGCAATAACCAATTGACTTACTCTAAAACCGTAGGGGGGAAGGCGTCTTAGGCATTGTCTAGCAATTGGGCTTCAAAAAAAAGAACAATGTGTCTAGAGCAGCTTTGCGTATGTGAATTCTTACATGTGCATTTTGGTGCTTAGGTATTATCTTCTTGTGCTTGCTGTGCACAAGCTAGGCTATCGCAGAGAAGGTTGCGTAGAGCTGCATTACTTTTTAAACTTGCTTTTAGTAAAGACCATTTCTTGCATGTGTTCCTTATGTTTGTAGTGCATGGTTTTACTATAGCATAATATGTGTGTATGCAATTTTTATTTGAAGGCCATGTATATGGAAGAAGAAAGAAACTTTACTATTGAACAGGTGACAGGAATGCTTCTTACCAAATTAAAAGAGACTGCTGAGAATGCGCTTAAGAAGCCTGTAGTTGACTGCGTTGTTTCGGTAAGTATGTGATAGTAAATAAGGAAATACTTGGTTAGTATCACAAACTGAAGAGACTGGTGGTAATAGCATTAAAGTGAATATTCAGGTCTGTCTTTTCTATTTAAAACTGAATCTTAACTTGCATCTCTTCTCCAAAACTAGACATGCTTCACTAAAGGTGAAATGTCTTTATTTGCTGCTAATTAGCAGCATAAATAATACTTGATACCTGTTTCTGGTTCTTGGCTCCTAAAATGAGTGGCTTGTGAGAGGGAGTGGAAGAAGGTTGACAAAAAGTAACTTTATGTAACATTTTCTTTGCTTTTTCTCTGTTGCAACTGGAGTGAATGCTAAATTTGAAGGATGCCTCAGCTGTTCTCTGCACTGAATGCCTGTACACCGTTGTTGTGACCATTTGCTAAAGATGGCTCTTCTAAATGTTAATATTGGCTATCTGATCTTGCAGGTTCCTTGTTTCTACACAGATGCAGAAAGGAGATCTGTGATGGATGCTACACAGATTGCTGGTCTCAACTGTCTGAGACTAATAAATGAAACAACTGCAGGTAACATCTTCCTTTCTCACCCTCACTTAATATTGTAGTTTTATTAGATAAGAGGGCTTTTAATCTGTCACTGATCTGTGCCCTCTGGAATTACCGCTGGTTTTGTAAACTTAAAATAGATTAGTTGGTCATAAAAAAACCAGAGCTTAAGAAACTTTCATTGCTTTACAGAGGCATGAAGGTATTTCTTGAATATCTGTTTCAATGCAAGCTACTAGAGGGGCTAATGCTGTTTAATGTTCTCCATGTTCCTTTAGCAGTGGGAGCTTTGTTTAATACAATACCAATTTCTGTAGCTTGAAAAGTAAGATGAAATGCTAATGCTGTTTACTGATGTACCATTTATTTCTTAAGGAAGTACAAAATGGAATGTCCTAACTATACTCTTTGACTCTTCTTTCTGTGTAGTTGCCCTTGCATATGGAATCTATAAGCAAGACCTGCCTGCCTTGGAAGAGAAGCCACGGAATGTTGTTTTTGTGGATATGGGGCATTCTGCATTCCAAGTTTCTGTTTGTGCATTCAACAAAGGAAAACTGAAAGTAAACAATCTGTTATGCATCCATTTTAATCACCAGTAGAAATATTCATCAGTACATACATGGACTGTGACAGGCAAGCTTGCCTGTCTTTACATAAGCACGGTCAGACGGCTCAATTCATGTTCTTAAAATTGTGCTTTGTCTGGAGTCGAAAGTAGCCAGGGAACTAGAGAGCTTTTGAGTGATATGTGGAGGAAGCAAACATGCCTTAATCAGCAAGCTTTGGCAAAGGGAAAAAAAAGGGTTAAATTATTTATTCAGAAATTATCATATCTGACTGGGTGCTGCTTTCAAAAAAATACTCTAGTCAAGAGATCTGCAATTAAAACAGGAATTCCTAGAGTGGTGTAAGTGACGAACATATTTTTTTAACACTCGCTGTGGTGTTTGTTTAAAAGAATAAAAACATTCTTAATTACTTTAAGTCATGAATGGAAGCTAAGCAAGTTACAGTGTACTTCTAAGTTAAGTTGCCAAAGCATTACTATTTTCCAGTAAATACTAACACTTAGTTGGTTCTTTTACAGTTACAATCTGGATTTTTGCAGTTCCATTAACTGTCTCTTAATCAGCTAGAGAAACAAGCGCAAATTTTAAAGCATGGGGTAGTAAAATGAAGAGAAGGCAAGAGTTCTGAAAACATTAGTTTTGTTGTAGTTCTGTTTCCTCTTGTGAGGAAACATAACCTACTTTGTTTTTCCTCTCAGATTTGTCTTTTAAACTTTGAAACTGTAGAAGGATTGAATGAATGCCCCTCAGTATAGAATGGAGAGCTGGACAGCAAGGCAGTGAAAACAGTGTAGAGACCACACCGAGTCTGAAAGAGTACTGAGAATAATGTGATGCTTTACTGATTTCTAGTCTAAAAAAAAAAAATTAAGGTCACAATATGTTTAAAGAGTAGAATCATCTGAGCTACAGATGTTCCTTGCAGATAATTCTTTCATTGAAAATGAGTGCCTATTTGCAAGAGTTAATAACATTTATTCTCTTCCTGTTTTAGTTTGGTGTAAGCATGTTCCACCCTTATGAGACATCAAATACTAAACTGGGATGTGATTCAAACTGACAGTGGCTAAGCAGAGTTAGGAAGCTCTGATGGTCTGCTTACAGTACAAGTACTGAACAGATTGTCCTGCTGAGCCTTGCCCTGTCTTCCTAAGTTTCTTTTAAAAGTTGTCACCTCATTACAGGAAGGCTGGGTGCCCAAGGCTGCTTTTTAGCATTTGAGATAGATGGGTTTTTTCCTGCTGGAGCTTTTAACTGCTGTATGTATGCACTACAATTCTTGTGAGAATGACCATTTGCAAGGAGGTTTAATATTTGTGTAGCTGCCAGAATTTGTCTGTGGTAGTGGTGGTTCTTTCTCCAACAGCACTTGGAATGTATCTAATATCAGCTACAAAAGGCAGAGGCTAATAATGGCTTAGACTTGGTAGGCTTTAAAAAAATAAAGCATCTATTAGGATGTGTGTATGACTATTACTGTAGTTGCAATCCACATAAACTATCAGGTGTTAGTGATGCAATTGCTACTTAGATTGCCCTGAAATATAAGAGGATAGTTTAATTGTTGCCAGCAGTGTCTAAGAAATCTGGAAGATGAGTATGGTACACAGCTTTATTGCTTGGGATGGGTTAAACCTCTAGATGAGGCTTATCAAACTCACTGGTGGTGGCAAGGGCAGAATAAAAATTAACTGTGCTAGGGTTTTTTTCTGTTGTGGCTGCACCAGTATAATTCTTCCTCCGTAGTAATGTTGTGATACTTGCTCTGACTTAAAGTTGGTGTGTATTTGAAACAAAGAAATGCTTTGACATTAACTGCTAATTGGTTTCACTGAAGTAATGACAAATTGTACTGTTACTGAAGAATTCAATTTTTTTAAGGTTCTTGCTACATCATTTGATACAACACTTGGAGGCAGGAAGTTTGATGAGGTGTTAGTTGAATACTTTTGTGAAGAATTCGGAAAGAAATATAAACTAGACATAAAGTCAAAGATTCGTGCGTTGTTGAGGCTATACCAGGAATGTGAAAAACTGAAAAAATTGATGAGCGCTAATGCCTCTGATCTCCCGATGAACATAGAGTGCTTCATGAATGACATAGATGTCTCTGGAACAATGAACAGGTAATGTTTATACTTCTACGAAAGCTAAAGCTTTAGAGTGCCCTGAACTCAAGTTGCTCCAGTCGAGAAAGAAATGTAGGATAAAGTACCAGTTCTTAGGACTGGAGGGAGGTGGGAAGTGTAAGGACAACATGTGCAGGCGTGCCGTGCAAAGTGGTAATGTTTAGAGACTGGTCGGTAGCCTTGAGTTAAGAGGAAAGGCTGTGAATGTTGCAGTTGTGCCTAGATTACTAGAACCAAGTTTGTCTGGGAGAATATACTAAATAAGTACAAAACTAGGACTGGGGAGAGAAAACCCTGCAGTGCATAGTTAAAATAGCATTCTTTCAATTTTGGCAGCCTGTTGTATTTGCAGTGTTAACTTGCTTATGGAATGCTATAGCTTTATTTACGGTTTCTTCCAACAGAAGCAAATTCTTAGAGATGTGTGATGGACTCCTTGCAAGAGTAGAACCACCCCTTCGCAGTGTGCTGGAGCAAGCCAGTAAGTGCATGCCTGTTCTGTATTCTACATATGGAAAAGAGATCCGTAATACAAGCTTCCTTTGGGTGTTGACAGAACTTGGACAGATGGATTTAGCACAGCGAACAATTTCTTGCTTAGCAGTTACAAGCTTTAAAACTTTTTCACACAAGCTAAGATCTGAAACTCTTACTGCTTAGAGAACAAGCTTAAAACAATGGTTGGTCTAGTAAAACTTCCAGTTTACAATGTGAGCATACTTAAGTAAAACAAAAACAATCTATAAACACTAATGTCTTGACTCCTTTCTAGAGTTAAAGAAGGAGGATATTTATGCAGTAGAGATAGTTGGTGGTACCACAAGGATCCCTGCTGTAAAAGAGAAGATCAGTAAATTTTTTGGCAAAGAACTCAGTACCACTTTGAATGCAGATGAGGCTGTTGCACGAGGTTGCGCGCTGCAGGTAAAAAGTGCTGTTTGTTCTAGCTGTGAGTGGTTTTATTGAAATTCGTAACTTAAGCCAGAGTCCACAGGTAACAGAAAGATACTTCGCATGTATTGTAGAATGGATTCGAATAAGCTTCAAGAAAGTGGTTGGAAGGATGAGAAGAGCAGCTTTAAGTGATTCCTTTGTGCTGTTTGTCTAAGGCAAATCAGTGGATCAGTGTAACTTGAAGTGAAACACGTACTCTGCCTCTGCTGCGGCTGGAAACTGGGAGTCTGATAAAGCTCCTATGATGGTGTCTTCTCCTCCAGGCTCCTGGGGGGGCCTAAGTTAAACAGGGGAAGAATTTTTTTTCTCGGCACTACTGATAAACTTGTGATATGGCAATTGCTTAATAATGTGGATGGAAATGAAAGCTTAGGCTCTTGCTAATGGAAAGTGTGTCCTGAGCTGGAATCAGTCACTGTTGAATGGCTTAAGCAGTAGTAAACACTCTATAGTTACTACTGTTACCATCTCTTGAATGCACCTTAACTTCGTTCTGAGCACCTCACTTCTCTCTTCAGATATTTAATATGTGCTTACAGCTCTGTTCCCTCAGTGGTACAAGCTAGCTATTGGAATCTGCTTAAAAAAAGAATTTTGTGTTCTGGTATGCAAAAAGCCTGGTACTCTGTCACTCTGGAAAATAACTTTTTAATTGAGGCTTTCTGATTTCTTATGTTGGCACTAAAAACAATTCAGTAGCCTAACCATAGCAAGCCACACATGATGGCTCTAAATTAAACCTTGTGTATTTCCCTTTTCAGAGTGAACAGGTTGTGACAGCTTCCTGAAAAGGAAGGGTACATCTGAGCTTCCAGTGCTTATTATGCAGGTCCCAAGTCCATCAGTATTAGTCTCCCTTAACCTAGAGTAAATCTACATATTAAGCATAAATAGCTACTTGCTGAATTAAATTACTATTCACCTGAAGTCTGAATGTTTGTAATACGAATGTTTCTTGTGCTCTTTCAGTGTGCTATTTTATCCCCGGCTTTCAAAGTGAGAGAATTCTCTATCACAGATCTGATACCATATCCTATTTCTTTACGATGGAATTCACCAGCAGAGGAAGGGTTAAGGTAAAACCCCTGATGTTCAATCTTCTTGCACAATTACATATTGCTTAAAACTAACTGATGGCAACTAGAGTAAATAACACTTCTAGAACAATGCCGGTTTAACAATTCAAGCTTTGATACTTTTTTCTGAAGTTTAATGACAGTAGAAAACAAACCCAAGGATGGGTGGCAACTTAGCACTTCCTACATGGCTGTCAGTCTCATTTTAACCTAAAAGGTTAGGAGACTCTCTTTTGTCACTTCTTTAAGAAGCTTTTCCATAAGGTATAAGAGTATCTGGAAAAGCTTTGTTAACTTTATCAGGTGTGTCATCCCACCTACTGAACAAGCGCTCTGTTTTGTCTTACAGTGACTGTGAGGTCTTTCCCAAGAACCATGCTGCTCCATTTTCGAAGGTCCTCACGTTCTACAGAAAGGAACCTTTTACCCTTGAGGCGTACTACAGTTCTCCCAAGGAGCTGCCTTACCCAGATCCTGCTATAGGTTAAGACCATTCTGTAGCTTTAAGCTTTATTCGTAGTCTTGTACATGTTTCAGGTCTTCTAAGTACATAGTCTGGGAAGTGCAACCTACTACAAATGCTGTAGGGACAGGTTTTCAAAGTCATAGATTTACAGTAAAATGAGTGGAGTAACATGAAGCTTATGGACAAATAGGCTAAATAAGGAGCATCCTAATGTTGGAGCAAACCTGAAAGGGGCATGCTTAGAATTGTGCAGCCTTTTACTGTGATACAAGTACCACCAGCTTCTACAGTATACTGTAGAGAATTTCCAATAGCTGTGTATCCTAGCATTGCTGAGTAAAAAAAATTGAATTATTTGACTTGAGTAGGACTTGATATCCTCTGAGTGCATCTCAGTGATCTGTTGTCAGCAACAGTCAGGTTTTACTTTGCATTTGGTGATTAAGTTAATCAAATGTTCTGTTTTTTTCCTCTCTGGGATTGTTTAGCTCACTTCTTGGTTCAAAAGGTCACTCCGCAAACAGATGGATCCAGTTCAAAAGTGAAAGTCAAAGTTAGAGTAAATATCCATGGTATCTTCAGTGTTTCAAGTGCATCTTTAGTGGAGGTTCATAAGTCTGATGAGAATGAAGAGCCTATGGAAACAGATCAGCATGCAAAAGAGGAAGAGGTAATAGACTTCACTGCTCTTAGCTACTTAGAAAACTGATGAAGCCAAATTGGCCAAGTTCTGGGAAGGTTCTAAGATTGTGTAAGGATTTAGTAGATGCGTCCAGCAACTAAAGTATGAAGATGTGATTAAGTACTGATTGAAGTATGTCACGCCAGTGACAGGTCTCTTGAAACCAGGGCTGTGAGTTACAGGTGAAACTTAGTCATGCTAGGAGTGAGGTGTTACTTGCCTAAGCAAAGATTAGAAGCTTATAATTTATGCCTTGAGACTCCTTCAGTTTTCATTCTGTTTCTTCTTTTGCCTAAAGAGCATTAGCTTGAAGTGATCGGCCTAAGAACTGAAGCAATGATCTGCATTTGTGTTGTTTAATATGTCAAATTGGATCTCTCTGATTTTCAGAAGATGCAAGTAGACCAGGAAGAGCAACAAAAGACTGAAGAACAACAGCAGTCTCAACCTGAGAATAAGGCAGAGTCTGAGGAAATGGAGGTAACATGAACACCTGAGACACTTCTGTTTTCTTAGAGGATAATTCTGGAAGATTCATAAGAATATGTAGTGTGTGAGCCTGTCCGCTGCCTTTGTCAGAGCTCTGGAAGCTAAACTTCTGTTTGAATATATTGGTAGTCTGTATTGTGATTAGAGCTGTAGAAGTACACAGATGGCATGGATAATGGCAGGCCTGTCAAGTGACCTAGTGCTGACAGAATGGGTGAACTCTCCTGTCCATGGAAGAAATAATCATTTAGTTTTCAATAACTTAAATAGTAGAAAAGTGTTCCGATGTAAGTGCCATCGCCCCCATGAATGTAGTGTGCCCAGAAAAGGTTGGTAGTTGCATGAATTGTCTCTGACTTCAGCAGCTGAAGTGTCAGAATGACAGTGCACCTCAACATCAGAACACCACACGAACTCAGTAATACTTTTTCTGTTTAAGTCTTGAATACTTGGCTTGAACTGACTGGTGATGCTGGTTTTTTACTTTGAACACATTTCTTTAACACAGACTTCTCAGGCTGACTCAAAAGACAAGAAAGTGGATCAACCGCCTCAAGCCAAGAAGGCTAAAGTAAAGACTACTACGGTGGACCTTCCCATTGAGAATCAGTTTAAAGATATGCTGAACTTATTCATTGAGAATGAGGTAAACTCTTACTTGCCCAAGCTAAGAATGTCACTAGTTGATCTCCAGAAACTTTGCTGTTTGTTAAACATGGTTAATGTTCAGGGGTGATGAAGGAAAGAGGAAAAGGGGGGAAAAAAGTGTTTCCCCCCGCCCGAGGTGAACAACAGTGCCTTGTGGAGCCAAAATATATTATTATTGTTAATTGAATGCTGTAACTCTTACTGAAGAGGTGTTCTGCAGGAAAGCTAGCTCACAAGGTGATGTAGTTCCAAAAATCAGCTGCAGTTACAAGGTACTCGATGGCTGCTACCATCAGGGTGAAGGTTCCTCAACTGGAGCAAGATTGGTCTGTGCTGTATTGGATATCCCACCAAAACTGAAATGAGTTTTTATTCATGTGCTGGTGTTTAGAACAGTTCTGTGAACCACAGTATTCAAAAAATCTTTAGTCAAACTTAAGCCTTTGCTAATGAGGTATCCTGGCTTTTTAGCCAACTAATTTGACAACTTGTTCACAGGGTAAAATGATAATGCAGGATAAGCTAGAGAAAGAGAGGAATGATGCCAAGAATGCAGTGGAAGAATACGTGTATGATATGAGAGACAAACTCTGCGGTATTTATGAGAAATTCGTTAGTGAAGATGTAAGTATTGCTAGCTTGGTTGTCTTCTAATGTATTTTGTTGTAATGAACAGTTGTATTTTACTAACCTTTGACCTGTGTCAGATACTGTGTTTACTTAGACTGTATTTTCAGCCTTCAAATTTGGAGAAACAGCTTTTAACCTTTCTGGCTATGAAGATAACCTTCTAAATGTGGCCCAAGTACATGCAGATAGTACCCAGGATATATTGTGTGCTCCTCTCCAAAACAGATGTAGCAATTAAGATATTATCAGAGCATGTGTTTTCAGACTGAGTAGGAGCATTTGCACAATTGTTTTAAGGCAACCTATTCTATTTTGGCTCTTTGTCAGTAGTTAGGAATAGTTTAAGATTTAAAAAACAAAATCAACCACCCTACCTAGGAACATAATAGGTGGGATTAGTCTGACTAAATGTGGGCACCTGTGTCTGAACAGGTTGCCTAAAAATCTCTTGGGAGTATTAATTAGCTTTCCCTGGTGTACTAAAGGAGCCTGGTGTGTAATTAGTGCAGTCATCTAAGTTAGAATTCTGTTAGTCAGATGAGTCACTCCAAACTCTTGCCTAGATCTCCATTGATTACAGTGGGAGCCTTGCCAGCCAGGTGGCTGCAGAGCCTAGATACCTCCATCAGAGCTAAAATCGGGACAAGTCAAGTGAGATTCATGGCACCTCTGCTAAAGATAAATTTCACTCTGTTCTCAGACTTGCTCATATGGCGATGATGAAAATGCGAGGGGGGGGGAGAAGGAAAAAATAGGCTTTTACGTGACAGTATTGATCTGAACCGTGGCTGTCATAGGCCTGGTCTCCACCATGAAGCCATACTGAAGAGTATTTTAGTTCTTATTTTTTCACTAAAACTGGATAAAGAGTTTCAGGCAGAGTTCTCTACATTCTAAAAATGTAACCCTTCCAGAAAGGTTCCAGGTATCATTTAATACCATCTGCTGTCTAGTAGAATTCTCTCACCTGTTTTGTACGTATTGCTTCAGGATCGAAATAGTTTCACACTGAAGCTGGAAGATACAGAAAATTGGCTTTATGAGGATGGTGAAGACCAACCCAAACAAATTTACATTGATAAATTGGCAGAACTGAAGGTAGGTGGTTCTTGCATTCCCATCGGCATTTACTGAATGTAGGTAACTTTGTTCCAGTGGGGAGCTGTCTTAGGTCTGCTGATCAGAGCGCGGCACTGGTAACAAACTGCTTGGTCCGCTTATTAAGCCTGGCTGAGATCTGTTCCTTGCAGACCTGGAACAACAAGGGTTGAGGGAGGCTCAGTCCCTCCTGTAAGTGGGAGTTCAGAAGTGTTGATGCACCCTGTCAAATCTCGCGGGATGCTATTGTGATGCTGCGTGGGGTTTGATACCTGTTGTACTCTGTTTCAGACTCTGGGTCAACCTATTCAAGCAAGATTTCAAGAATCAGAGGAAAGACCAAAAGCATTTGAGGACTTAGGGAAGCAAATTCAACAGTACATGAAAATTGTTCATGCATTCAAAGCAAAGGTATTTCCATGCTTAATTTCTGGCAAATGCAGGGAAGGGGTACAAACCTTTTCTGAATCTGAAGTAAGCTCCTTCAAAGAAAAAGCTGGTGCAACCTCCTGGCTAGCTTCTGAGTTCTTGATACGTACTGTATTTTTCAGAAGTGGATGTTGGCTTGAAAGTCTGGCTGTCTCTTTCAGTCGGATGTTGATTTCCTGATGGAGAGAACATGGCAGCAGCAGTAGAACTTCACTTCTGGTTACAGAGCTGTGGGTGATCAGCTTAACTGCTCTGCTAACTAGAACAGCCTTCTGGCTATGTGGCCTTTCTAGTATTTTGAAGCTAAAAGTGATGAAATAAGAATGCAATTTAGATGTTCAGAACAAATATTTGCATAGCTACTACTAACTTGGCTGTTGCAGGATGAACAGTATGACCATCTAGATGAAGCAGATGTTGGGAAAGTAGAGAAGAGTGCAAATGAAGCTATGGAGTGGATGAACAATAAACTTAATCTTCAAAACAAGAGAAGTCTTACTTTGGACCCAGTTATAAAAGCTAAAGACATACAAGCTAAAACTAAAGTAAGTCTTTCTATGCAAGTCACTGAATTTCCGTGAATCTTCCTGTTTCTTGATCCTAGTTTGCGCTGAGGGGAAAGCTCTGAGGGGAGAAATCTGTACTAGGACAGCGATTGGGGATTAATCCGAACGTGTATTGGGGAACATCAGCCGTCAGCTTGAGTATCCATCTGGTGCTGTGAAAAGTTAATTTGAGTGACAGGTTAAAGGACAACTGGCGGATACACACACTTCTAACAGTGCTTTATTCCTGTGTTTTCTAGGAATTGACAAGTATTTGTAATCCTATAGTCACAAAACCCAAACCCAAAGTCGAACTCCCGAAGGAGGAGCAGAAGCCAGCTGAGCCCAATGGACCAGTGGAAGGGCAGGGAGAAGCTAGCGGCGGGTCCCAGGCTGCCGAGCAGAGCGCTGCTGCCCCTGACCCGGCAGCCACGGAGAAGAAGCTTCCCGAAATGGACATTGACTGAATCTCAGCACTTGTTTATATTACTGCAAACTACAAATAAAGCTTTAAGTTGTTGACTTCGTATGTTCTGAATACAAACTGAAGCAAGTGAATACCATGGCACTCTTAGGAGTTTTTGGAGAGGTTTGGTCAATGCAGCAAGTCAGAACATGTAGGTAGCTCACTACTCAGTCACTAAGCAGTTACTTCTTGCCATTATGATTGTATTTAAAGTTTTGGTAGTCTCGCTGGACCTGCAGAACATTAAAAATGTCCATGGCCAGTCAATCTTATTTTAAAGTAGTGAAGTCTAACTCGTACACCGTTTGCTTCCTTTCTGTTGTGGCTTACAGCAACAGCATTGTACAAAGTGCCCGTTAAGGTTGGGACTGCAAGGAGGTGGTGGGGAGAGGGGGTGCTCCTTCAGGGGCCTGAAGCCTGGTCCTTCCTTTGCTCATCTTCCTCTTGCCCTTGTTTTAGTGTTAGTGCACTACTCTAGGTTTATCTTGATTTGCACTTGAACAGTTTGTAGTTACACAAGGTTTGCAGAGCAGCGGGTGGTAGTATTGGTGCATCTATCGCTCAAATCCACATCATGGATGACTTGGATTAATTATCTGATCTCTGGAGTAGCAGCCGTACCCTCTTGCGGGTCAGACTGTGGGAGCTGGACTTGGTAATTCTTATGGGCCCTTCCACCTTGAGATATTCCCCAGCTGATCAGACCCTGTAAGCTTTGTGTCTCTAGTTCAATTAGCTGCTTGTAGAAAGAGTGGACACTTGTATTTCAGCTGCCTACACTGACAGCCCATTCTGACTTGTTTACAACTTTTTCTGAAGGAGGTCTGCTTGCTTCTGTGAGGTCTTTGGTGGGAATGCTTGGGGTTTTGGTTTGGGTTTTTTTTTTTTTCCCAGGAAAAGGAAGACCTGACCCACTTGGCATTTTTTTTTTCCTATGAGCTTTATACAATGATTTGCTTCTAGTACTGATTGTCATTAAACTTCCAAACGTTAATTTGTATGTGTTAAAATCCAAAGCTGAAACACCTGTTCAGATGTTGCAAGAAATAAATGCACTGGATTCTACTGGACCACCTTCTCCAGCTGTTGATTGCAAGGAGGAGAGAATTGCCTGGGGGTAGGCGAGAGGCTCCATTCCTTCCTTTGGCGTGCGAGGAGCCGGGCCCTGCTGCGCCAGGGCTTGAAGGGCGACGCTTTTCTCGCTGAGGCGGGCGCGGTTGTGCTCTGCGGATGTCGACGGAGCCGAGCTGGGGCGGGGGGCGGCTGGCGGC